ATGTTATTCCATTACTTAAGTCTGCTGTAATGCTTTTCCCAACTTTCTCCTCAAATTGTCTTCTTGGAAGCACACAAGACAATCAGGTTTATACTAAGTATTGGTTACACACAGTTACATTTGGTGCCTAGTAAAGGCAGTATATTCTATGTAAAGTAGACTGAAATTTTAATTTTTTGGTAGAAAACTTTTAAAAATATCCAGCATCCATTCCTTCTCCTTAACAAATGTTGAGATCTTCTATTATATAGAATCTCAATACAGTATATTTGAGTTTTTACCTGTTACAGAAGGTAAAGAGAAACCTGTGACTACTGCTACCGATCTTTTTATCATTTAACTTATTAAACCAACATGTTTATGACGTTCTATTCTGACATTTTTCTCAATGTTTTGAGGTCTATGTGAACCAGTGAAGTGTTAAAACACACAGGAACTGGCTCTTATTAGAAATGAATATTACAGCTGAGTGAATTCATTACCTGTCAGTCAACGGAGGGCAACCCCTGCTCATCCACTTGTGCCTGTTTTTTGTTGTTGTTTTTTTTTTTTTTAACAAAAAGAGGAACCTTTGAAGGTGAACTTTGCGCGTCTTAAAACATGCATGACTGGGTCTGACTTGCTTGGCCTGCTGCCAGTCGTTTCGGTGAACTCGTAAATTAATAGGGAACATCAGGGGGGATAGAAAGCAGCTACTGAGCTTGAGTTTGGAGCTGCAGATGAACACATGTTCTCACGATTGGCTGTTTTTGTTGTTGCTATACACATTTGTGATTTCATGGAAAACCTGTTTCTTATTTTACTGGCCTTAATAGCAAAAAGCTGTAGAGTTACTGTGCTGGCAAAGGGACTTTTGATTCTGAGGTGCTCAAATTCTTTGAGTAAAATAATAATATAGGTACAAATCTCAATCTTGCAGAAGTTCATACCCATCTGAAATAATGGGTTTCAACAAACAGCTCTTCGGAACAGATAGTATTACATTTGTTAAAGATTAGCCTCGTCTATTTGGGGCTGGGAATGTAAATTACACCTTTTAATAGCCTTTCAATGGGGCTGCTACCAAACTCACACCGGACTCTACCTCTCCCGGGTGTCCCCTATTCACTCTGTTACTACGCCCATTACTTTCATGCTGCCTTTCTGGTTTTGTGCGCTGGAATTGATGCCAGGTGCTGCACCTTGAATGCCCTTTCGGTGTTTGGTGAGAACGAATCAACATCAAGGAAGCCACACCGTTGCATTTAAAGCCAACTTATCACCAAAGAGGAGCCACATCAGTCACTAAGGCGCCCAGCTGAGTCAACATAACAGAGATGTGACGATACAGGCGTGGGTTTGTGCATTTTCTGCCAGACCAGCCAACCTGTAGAGGTGACAGATGCAGTAGTTGAGATCCTATGAATATTTCTCTTGATAAAATACTGCATGAGTCTGACCCTTGACCTGAGAACGACGTCAGATCAATGTTGAGAGTGCTTTACCCATAAGGTGAAAAAACAGCAGAAGATGCAGTTGGTTGTAGTGATAATATGGGCTTTAAGAGTCTGCAAAAATGTTTGCATGGTCTGCATTTGCAGAAGAGGAACATATTTACTCAAAGACAATAGTAGTGGTAGTAGGCAGAGGTTTACTGGGTTAAAAGCCATTGGAGGAGTTGGTTAACAGTTCAACACTTTCATAAATGTGGGGTAACCATGTTGGATTTTAAAGTTGCATCTGTTTAGAGGAACTTAGATTAGATTAGATTCAACTTTATTGTCATTGCAAAGGTACAAGGCAACGAAATGCAGTTTAGGTCTAACCAGAAGTGCAATAGCATGATAAATAAGACCGTCAGCCTTGCGATGTACTCGCGCCGCCATCTTGGTCTTGAACTTCCAATTTCTATGTAGAAATTTAGACTGCAGGCGGCGATCTATTTGAATTTTTGGACTTTAATTTACAACTTCAGAGCACAAACTAATTGTGCCATGTCAACTGAAGTCTCAACCAACTTTTACTGCTATTTGTGTTTGTAGATCTGTGTTTTGACTCCTTCTGTGAAAATATATGTTTGGGGGAAAAAAAGCTGACTTGCTACACTATAAGATTGTAGGAAAATAAAAACATTACATTACAGGTGAAAAATCCGAAATGAAAATAAATGACATTAGATGAAACAACTATATTTGCTTAAATTTTTAATTTAACAAGGAATATAAAATGACAAAATCACCAGGAACCATCCAAACAATAAGGGTGTGTGACATATTTGTATTAGAAATCACAGTACATAACCTTATCAACTACCCCGAGGCAAATCCCAAAATACTACAATATTAACTACAAGTTAATTCTTTTGTTGCCCATTTTAGAAATTAAAGCTCAAAGTCATTAAATGGAATGAACTATTTCAATCACTTAGTTTTTTTAATGCTGTTGATGATGGGTTACAGATAATTATAATAGGGGAGATGATTATGGTCAATAAAAAAAAAAATACTAAAACAAAAATATTTAATCTAAATAATTCTGAATTCAAGTTAGAATTTAATGGCTATTATTTGGCCTTTTTTAGTTAGTTTGTTTTCAATGGCCCTAATCATCTTCTGTGTAAAAACCCCAAATTCAGTGCTCTGAAAAAAACAGAAAATATGAACTATGATGAAGAATAATAAAAAGTGTTAGGTATGTGTCCCTCAACACATTGACAATACCCCATACATTCTCTTTTGGTTTCCGGTCAGGAGAATTTTTCTAACCATTCAGGCACACTAACTCCATGGTCACTGAACCAATTTAGGTAACCTTGGCAGCATGCAGGCATCAAGTCCTGCAGGAAAATTAATAATATCAGCAAAAGGAAGTATGCAGTAAATTTCCTGGTGGAATCCTGCATTGACTTCAGAAAACACAGTGGACTATCTCATATCCTCACTTACAGTGCAAAAAAAAAAAAAATCCAGATACTGTAATTCTGTTGATCCCCAGTCTTCCTCCTGATTTCCAAACGAAATGTAAAATTAAATTTCATCTCAAGAGAGGACTTTGGATCACTGAACAAGAGTCCTTTTCATTTTAGACCTTACCCAGGTAAGATGTTTAATTAAGTTCACTTTATTTTTGCCCTTATAATCTTTACACTGAACTGCCTCCTTCAGCTTACTAAGAGTAACAGACCGAAAAAGAACAAAGGATTGATTTTCAGCTAAAAAAAAAATACTTTTTTATTTTGCTATGTGATTAGAGGTGGACTGTCTTGATATCATATATAATTATTCAGTAAAACTACAGCCTCAAGAACAAAAAAGTTTTGATGGGATTGCTATTTTTCCCATATTTTCACTAATGTTCAATTCAAACATGGAAAAACAGTGAATGAGACATCAATGATAAGAATATTTTTAAAAAGATGATTAAATGCAGCTATATGTATTTGTTAGCCATGAAACCGTTCTAATTGATGCTAATAAGGTCCTAAATATGGTAGTTGTTTTATTCCTGGGGGTTGTTCTCGTTTGCTTTTTTTAAGAGAAGTGCTTGTATTTGTTGGGGGTTGACTGCTGTAATATGCAGCCACACAATGTAAAGGCTGCAATGGATTTTTTCATTCAATCATCACTCTGTATCATAATAAATACCACTAAATAGCTTGAAAAACTTTTTTTACCCAGGAAAATGCATTTTTGACTGTTAAGCAGACTTCCACAGAAAGCTAGAGTTTGGAGGGTCTTTAGCCATTTTGTGCAATTAGTTATGTTTGTCGTGTATTCAAATCTTTCACATATAAAACAGAGGAATCAAAAACAGGATTAGTTTGAGCTCTTGGTCTCAGTCTGCATCTGTGAAAGGTTGCAGCATTTTGGAAATCTCAGTTATGATTAACTACTTTACTCTCCAGGGAATGTATGTGGTAATTTATGTTAATTAATTCTAACGTTACTAACTTCTAATAAATGCTGAAAATCTTGCCCAGATGTCATGTTGAAAAAAAAAGGTAGGTACCAGTGGGAAACATGAGACATCGCTGATTGGACGACGGCGCCGTGTGACCCTTGAACCGGAAGTCATTCTGCCTGCTGCGGCTTTTGAAAACATAGATATTGTCGGCGCCCCAAACATAGCTGCCGTTATCCAGAAATATTTTGAATCAGGACATACGTACGAGGTGATACTGGATATGCTTAAGACTAATCACGAAATTTCAGTTAGTTTGCGTACACTGAAGACACACTTAAAAGAAGCTGGACTGTTCAGACGACACAACTTCCGGCTCAAGGGTCAAACGGCGCCGTCGTCCAATCAGCGATGTCTCATGTTTCCCACTGGTAACTACCTTTTCCGGTAGGTTAATGTAATTGTGTTTTCCTTAATGTAGTTGCGCTTTGCTTTATGTAGTTTTGTTTTTCTTAATGTAGCTGCACTTTGCTTTATGTAGTTTTGTTTTTCTTAATGTAGTTGCGCTTTGCTTTATGTAGTTGCGATTTCCTTAATGTAGTTGCGCTTTTAGATTTGTAGTTGCAGTTTGCACTTCTGGGCCACCGTATTTATGGCTAGTCTTAAAATCTTTCTTTTTGATGAAGCTTATAGTATGTAGATCAGGTTATCCTGAGCTACCTTAATAGCTTTGCTGCTATAGACTTTGCTGGAGGACATAGAGAGCCCTTTTCATCATTCTGCGTCATTCTTTTTCTACTCTCCCATTGTGACGCATTTCTTAGTTCAGCCCTTAACTTATGTTCTCTTTGCTTTTCCCAATCATAGTAGCTTCATCTTGTCTGGTACTGTTGGTAAGGACACCATTCTGGAAAGAGACATAAGATGGGCTGCTGACATCAATACCTCCAAATACAGATGATAGAGTTGGGCCTCTGACTAACTGTATGTGTTCTCTTCTTTCCTTTTTGTCAGGAAAACTGGCTAGTTGCTCATCTGCTGAACTGCTTCTTTCCTAAACAGAGACACCTATGGATCTAGTTTATTGTTACTTTTCTAAATAATTTTGTTTTTTCCGTTACCTGAAAATGATGCAGAGAACACTCATAAGTATCAGAGTGAAGAAGGCAGCTCCGCTCACAGCAGCGAGGAGGGAGTCCACCTTTCTGTCTGACGGGGACATGGCTCGCTGATTACCTCCCAGCTCAGTCAGGTTGTGGTAGTGGAAGAGAAGAGCAAATCCACGTCCCCAGTGGGTGGTGGTGATGAGCTCCATGATGACCTCCACCATCTCATGGCTTGAGCCAAAAACCAGCTGGCTGCTGGGAGGCCGGTTGGACCCACAGAACCTAGAGGAAAAGGTGATGAGGTCCGAGATGTAAAGGACGTCATGGGGACAGGCGTCAAGTATGGATTGTTGAGTTTCAGGGCTCACAGCAGGAGTATCAGTGAAGGGTGGTGAACCAAAGGTGGTCTCTTCCATAACTGTGTTTTGATTCGAATCAGTACGAAAATCTCCATTTAAAGAGGGGACAAAGACGGAGTTGGTGACCTTGTCTGCAGAAGCTATAGCACCAGGGAGGAGAAGAAGGGAAGTAGGGGGTGATGAGGTCTGACTAGAGGATGGATCTGCAGACCTTTTAGCAGAACTTGAGACTTCTGCAATCTCCATTTTTGTAGACTGCTCCTGGACCACAACTTGACTGAGGACGCCATCTTGGAAAGAACGTTGAGTTTTTGAGATATCTCTTGCACTTTGATGTGTAGGCCTTGCATCTTGCGACAAGCTTTCATCAGCTGGTAAACTGGTAGTCGTTTCCTCGGCTTCCTCTTCAAAGTTAGAGAAAGCAGAGTACTGAGCTTCAGAGTCATGGCTTTCAAACACGTCGAAGTCAAATATTTCCAAAACAAGCTGGTAATCAACAGGAACAACAAACTGCCAAACACAATGAGTCCCAGACGAGTAGTTGTAGGGGAAACCAGGAGACAGAATGAGACCCTGGACATCCAATACATCCACCTTGGCACCACAGTCAAAGTACACCTGCAGAAAAAATAAATAGAAGTCAGTCTCACGCCAATCCAATTCTGCTTTCACTTAGAAGTACAACACATGTTCACTTAAAGTCGTAGGGAAGCGGCTGTTCCAACCGTTGCATTTCCGAAATCTCCCGAGTGGTGCACGACTTCACACTAGTGAATATAGTAAATGTGATTCGTTGTTTATCAAGGAGGTGGCGTTGTTGTGGCGGAAGATTCTCAAGCAAGTTGGATTGTGGGCAGTTTCTTTGAAGCATCTTGCTAACCAGTTAACAACTCAGTGCTAGTAGGTTCTCAATGGGAAATTCCATTGGGACCAAGAAGCACTAAATTGGCGACTTAGAAACAACACTGTCAAGGAACGCTATGGACAGCGGAAACATGCAAGAGCAGAAGAGTTTTGTGTCGGAGGTCATGAATGAGTCTCCTCCATCATACATTGTACAATTCAGAGGAGGACGCCAGTGCGGAAGAAGCTTGGTTTGGTGCAGAGGGCTTACAGCCGTACATGCTTGAGCCTTTGCCTCGCAATGCTGCCAGTTCTGTTAGCTCTACGCCTGCCGAAGACAAAGACGTCCATCCCCGTGAACACTGGGATGGAACTCAATGGGAAAGGAAATTATTCTTATTTCAACTGTTGCATATATTAGCTGCAACATTTGAATCAAGATGCTAGGACTGAAAAAATTTGATTGACAGATGATTGTTGATGTATGATTGGCCGAATTAATGTGTACAAGCTGACGTATAACTAACTGGCCTGCATAAGATAACGAGAAAACCCCCCCACTGATTTTAAGATAGGATTTTCTTTTTTAATAGAAATTTTCTAAATTTTGGGACAACATAATCTGATAAAGAGTACATTTATATACATGTTTAAGAGAATGATTTGACATCGAAATATGACTTCCCTATGACTTTAATGCTTTGAAAACCTGCCTTGAAAAACTCAAAAACACTTCCCAGATAGGGAATGGTTAAATTTTATATAAGCCTTGTCCACACGAAGACGAACACTGTATCTATTTTATAAACATCCGTATAAGTGCACACAGCACCACTGAAGACATAGTTGCTGTAGTGGGTCCTTGAGGGAGCTGTAACACCACAGAATCATACCAAAACAGCTGACAAAAACACTGGACATGCATAGACGGCTCACGTGAAGTGAAGACAAAACCATGACGCAAAAGAGGTGCAAGGGGGTTTGATATGGAGATGAAGTTATTATTGTCTAAAAGACAAAATACCTTAACAATAAACCTAATAACCGAAACTTGTCTGTGTGGATGAGGTCCAAGTTAGCGTGTTTGTCAAGTTCAGAAAGAAAGGCTTTTAGAAAGCACATTCATACCCAATTACTATTGACAAAAAACTTTGAATCTAAAATCTACCATTAGACAATAAAATCACTTCAATTATCAAGTTAGAGAGTTTGTGTTTTGACCTTTGGGAGAGAGAACCAGTTTGTTAGTTCTTGCGGATTATTTCCTTTAGTTAATAGGTGAAGGGGAAAAGGATAAAAAGAAATATATCTGGCTGTAAATTAGGGTAAAAATAATAACATTTAAAAAATAATATTATTCTTCCCAGTCCCCCACTGCCATTACTGGATCAGTTGATCAATTTCAGCCAAGTTGTTCTGGATCAAAACAGTAATTAATGGAGATTTATGGCTTCTGTAATTATGTGTTTTTTCAAGCAGTTTTTTTTATTCCAAAACATTTTAAATAAATTCAGAAAAATACAGTTTGTAAAAGTTAATCTGAAAAAAAAAAAATAGAATCCAGAAATTAAACTTTGAATGTGTTCTCAAAAAACATATTCAAACTGAGAACAAATTTAAAAACATATTCAAAGTTTAATTTCTTTTTTAATTGCATGTTACAGTGCAAGTAAAACAAGCACGTGGGACAGCCTTACATAAACTTATCACTAGAATGATTGACAATTATGAGGACCACTATTTTTTGATGGTCCACCTAGAAAAAGAACATCCTCCGTTATACCTTTACGTTCTGATGACATAAATGCATTTGTTAATAATTTTAATTTAAAAATTTAATAAAAGGGTACCTTTATTGTTTGGTTTAAGTATTCAAGAAAGTACCCAAGTTACTGTTTGGATGAATGACCTAAAAACTGTAACTAGTTACTAGAACACTGATCATAAATATAATATAAAAGCCATAATTATACCAACTCCCTCACAGAAACCATCCAGGCATGGAACTAGTCAACCCTGTCTTCGTGTCAGAGAACGTATGTTGTCTGTGCGGCTGGCCTTTGTGACCTCCGGGTGCATTTCTTCAAACTTTCTGGCTGTAATTCTTCCCAGGTGTATGAGGATTTAAGAGGGACCCTAGCCCTAAGCATAGGCTGATTTTTATTGGTCCATGGAACTGAAGACCAGACCTTTGTAGGGGGCCTGTGTGTTTATGAGGCTTTCGGCTCACCTCTCAACTGTGGGAAAGCCCCAGACAAGTAGACACCCCCCCACCCAGACAGGTAACAAACTAGACACCCGCCAGCAATGATTGTGCTCGAGACAGGAAGAAAAATAGACAAGATAGCTGTGTAGTTCCACTAAAATGTCAGGTTCGCTTCAGTTTTAGCACGGATGCTTTTTTTTTTCTTCCTCCAGCATTTATCCAAATTCATCCCCTGATGGATAAGTGGAAAAATAAGTAATACTGTTGATCTGAGTCCTTATATAAATGCACCTTACGCTCATCTGTTAAGACCATAAACTAAACAGAATGCAGAACCCCGGCCAGGCGCTACTCAGCAAATAGTCGCAGTTAACTGATACGCGTGTTAACAATTTTATAAAAGCATATATTTTGGACTTTTGCGGCTCTGGAGCACTCGCGTATGTAAAGCCAATGCCAAGAAGGAATAACATCAGCAGTAATATTAGAGAAGTTGTCTTGTACTTATATAATCTCTAAGGCTCTTTAAATGCATTGCCAAACTTTTCAGAGATCATCATGTTTCAGTTAAAAACCCACCGCCCCCCCAAGCTGAAGTAGAAAATATTCGAGACAGCTGCCAGTTATACTAGAGGGAGTCATTGCAGAAAGCTCACGCTGAGGTCAAACCTCATAAAAGGAATACACAAAAACACTAAAGGACCTCAGTTCAAGTTAAAATTTCAAGTTCATGATGATACAGTCAGAATGCTATGTGTGGACTGATTGAAAGGGCTCAGACAGTTTATTTCTAACGGAAAGACAATACCGTTTCCAAAATGAAGAAAAACAACCCTCCATAAAATCGAGTAGATCGGAACATTTCATGAGATCCACTAAAAATCTATTGTAATTTAATGAAGTACCCCTACCTTACAGACCTTTGCAAACCTATTTAAACTCTTTCAGCTGTTGCCTTTTTAATGTTTGACCTTTACTGACAGTATCAAGACAGAAAACGGGCAGAGAAAAGCATAGGAAAGACAGCTGCAAGAAGGAAACCTCTGTGTGGCCTACATGTGGACCCTTCTCTACTGCAGCACCACGCAAAGCACTAATGTTCCCAATTTTCTCAAAATAAAGGCATATACAAAAGTACTATGCATAGAGACAGAACAACACTAATCAGTACATAATGCTCAAGTGAAATGATAGAAAGACTCTAGATTTTTTACAGATATCAAAATGTGGTGACAAACCTCAGAGATTTAAATCTTTAAACACTCATGGCCAACTAAAACACATACCTATGCTTTAAACTACAACATTTTGAATGGATAAAATCAATACTTGAGATATAACCTAAACCCAGAACTTTTATGGTAGGGGAGTGAGATATGGATAAAAAAAAAATGCTGCATTATATAGGTATTTCTTATAAATTCATCTAAGTAATTATTGATTAAAGGATCAAGTTTAAAAAAAGGCCCAAATTCATGATGTAACCCTATCTTTTTTTAAATAAAACTTATAAACTTACTTGCTGAGCCCGGCTGTGAGAGGTTCAAAGGCTTAATCCTTTCCTTTCTTTACCTACATTTTCCAAAATTGAAATTCACTGAAATTATAGCTAGTTTCTCACCAGCGTGTTTCTGCATAGCGGGCTGCTACACTCAAAATTATCCTTACTACTCTAAAATTCAGTCCTCTACACTCTACACTACATTTTTCATCATGATGGTACAGTACCTTCGACTGACATCTGGGCTCCCTCCACTAGGGCTCTGTCCAGCACATTTCAGCACAAAAGCCGGTTGTCAAAATTACACTGAAATTAGGTTGATACATTAACTTTTAATTAGCTTAACAGCCATAGAAACTGAAAAATGTATCTCCTCATTTGCACACAGACATTAGGAAAGCACTTTCAAAAGATGAACTCCACGTCAGACTCATATTTGACTCACTCTGAGAACTTGCAGGCTGCTTCCTGCTAGCAGACAGAGAAGCAGCTTTGAAAGTAGGGGTGAGGCAACCAGGTTTAGACAGATTCCTTAATGGCTGGTCTGCCAAGCCAAACAGACTAATGATCATTTTGCTCTACAGTGAAGATAAAATACAAGCTACGTGTGGATCTTTTTGCAAAGAAACATATTCTGAACTACTGACTCCAGCCAATTTATAAGCTATGGAGAATGCAGGTCCTGGTAAAGCATCAGACATGTTTATCAGCTACAACTGGATTCCTTACAGTTGCAATGGGGGAAAAAAAATATGTGGCTGACCAGCTATACAGCAATTTCACCAGCTTATTTCCCTTGCATATTTTGCTAATTACATTTACAAACAGTAGCACTGTTGTCATAGACAATCAGTTGTCTCTTGCACATGAGTCTTATATTTGCTGACTCCGAAAAAGAGGTGAATGTATTTTTGCCAGGCTAGGCATTCCACTTTTAGTGCTATTCCTTTAGAATTGACACTAAGAAGTAATTACATTAGTTCCTGCAGTGCTTCACTCAGCCTGCCAACGGACGGGAAATTAACGTGATACAGCATGAATTACATTTGAACGAGCCAAATGCCGTTC